CCATATCACGACTTAGATATATTTGAAATGATTGATAAAAATATCAAGTTTTGTGAAAATCTTAAGTCATTTGTCTGTTATTACAAATTTTTTGCCGACATTTATCTGCAAATGATTACCAAAGATGTCATATTTAAAAAGTTATATAAAGTTGGGCTATCATTCAATTGCGATTCAATCGATAATTTCAAAAGTTTTATTGCAAACTATGGAAAACAATTGAAATCAATGTCAGTATCATTTGAGATGGGGGCCGGAAGTCATATATGGACAGTAATCAATGGTGTGTCACAAATGCAACAATTAGTTGATCTTACAATTGATTATCAGTTTTGTGTTTACGATTCATTATTTGAATTATTACCACAAATTGGTAGCAAATGTCTTAAACTTAAGAGATTGTCACTAATATTAGATGAATATGAAGATAATTTAAGCGAAACATTATTCCCAGTAATTAATAAAAACTTCAAACATATTAAATGTTTTAGACTTTTAGGTGATTTCAAGTTTGATGAAGATATGAGTAGTGAGTGTTTGAATCAATTGAAACAATTGACACATTTGTCTATTATATCAGTCAAACACACATTTCCCGACTCATTCTTCATGGAAATGGATACAAATCTACCGAAACTTCAATATCTAACACTTCAAACACTAAAATGTGTAGAAAATACAATGAATTTACTGCAATCACATAATAAGTTGAGATATTTAAAAGTATTTAATTATAATAAGCAATTAGATTATTGTAAGTTTATCAATAAAAATGGACAAAATATAAATGTTTTACTAACTAAAAACTTGTATTATCAGATTGGACTTTATTATTAACTTTAATATAAATTTAATTATTCATTAAACAAATTTTATTTTATTAAACTTTTGTTGATTACAACAATTGACATCAATAGTCACTCGTAACCATTTCTATGTGCTCTGCCATAAAAAAATACATTAAATTATTTTTGTATTTTAGTTTTGTTAAAACTTTTTTTGTAATTTACTAAATAATTGTATTATTTATTGTTGTCAATAGAAACATTATGTTAATACAATAGTATAATTTGTTTTATTTTTATCAATAATTGTTGATAAAATTGCAAAACAATACAAATACTTTTATAACTTTAGTAATAATATTATTATAGTTAAAATAATTTTTACCTAAAATATATAATCAATAGAAACATTAATATTGATAATATTTTTTGCAATGATCAACATATGAACTTTTATATTAAATAAATAAATAATATTTTATAATTATAATAATTATTTCATTATTTTTGTTAATATTTAATTTATAATATATGAAATTTTGTTAATTTATGGAATATTATCAACAAAAAAATTGATCAAGCAAAAATGAACAGTAATATAGAAAAATATTTACCTCAAAATATTGTATATAAATCAGCAATAAATCATTTATACCGAATTGGTCTTAACATACATAATATCGGTAATTATAACCGAAATTGGTTACACAAACCAATATTATTATCTATAATATGCCTAATATTTTTCATAAACCGTATTATTTGCTTAATATTGAATCCAGAAAATACATTAATTTTTGCATTATTGGGTGATTTTGGCTACTTTTTAGGTGTTCATTATTTTAATAATTTATATCTAATATTAGTTTCAATTTTAGTCATTACTTCGCAAATGATATATTATTATAATTATATATCAGGTACTGAACCAACATTTCTTTGTGTATTTCAAGTGATGTCTGGTTTGCGATCACTTAATAGTCTGGGATTCAATAATACACAACAAATTTCACAATTAACTAACAGAATGGCAAAAATATGTCGTTTTATTCAATTTAATAATAATATATTTGTTGTGATATTTTCATATTTTGTTATTATAATTAGTTATTTAATTAAACTGTCGATATGGGAGACAGTTATCTATGGCACACCTAATGCAATATTATTTAGTTTATGTGCTCACTATTACTGGAATATTATATTATTTCAAGTCATATATCTTTACATTTTGTGTCGTTATTTAAATATCAAAATTAAATTACTAAATAATAAAAATATCAAATCAATGCAAACAATAACTTTAATGAAATCATTTGATAAGTTGTTTTCTGAGATCAATGACTATAACATCACTTATTGGTCAAAGTTTTTACTAACATTTTGGTTAACATTTGGATCGGCGACTGTTTTATTGCTTTTCAATACTATTTTCACGACAATGAATATCGTATTGAGTTTAGCCTATAGTTATGTACTCCTTATGTTTATACTTATATTTCAATTTATTTTATTTAAAACTTCGTCTATTAATTATGAGACAAATAAATCATATATCATACTAAATCATTTATTTGTTACTAAATTTTAGTTTCATTTAATAGTCATACTTTCAATTCAACAAATAAGCTCTTAATTCAATAATAACTACTAATGATAAATATTATGTCTTAATAATATTTAGTCAAATATGAAAAGTTCAATACAAACTAACTATTATTAATAAATTAGTTAAGCAATAGTTTAAATTGAAATGACAACATGTGATCATTGATTTTAAGAGATTTAAGTGATTATAATAACAGTTTGTTTTACAATAACAATAGTGTCGACAAATTATGACTTCAACAACAATGAAAAAATGTCTAATAAGTCATACAAACAGTTGGCGACAACGGTTTGATCGTTTCGGTGACGACTTGTGTCAACTATTATTATCTTATTTATCACTCGAAGACCGGTTAAGATGCGAATGTGTTTGCAAACAATGGCAAAGTGTTATCTTCAATACACAGACAGAGTTTAACTCAAACTTTGATTATCGTTTGAAACAATTGAATGATAAGACATTGGAAATGATTGTCAAAAAGTGTACTAATATTACGACAATCTGTTTCTGGCATTTTAGAAATCCGATGAATGACTCGCTATTGTTGACTATTATAAGACATTGTCATCGATTGACTGATATTAAGATCCGTAGGTTTGGTAATATAAGCGACAAAGTGTTGGATCAGTTCTTTAAAAGGTTTGCCAAACAACTGAAAACCATTTCAATGCATTTCTATGAATGCATCGAAAAGTTTCGACAAAATAAACGACAAATTATTGCCAAGAATATCAAGTTTTGTACAAATATTCAGTTTATTGACATTCAATACCAAAGAGGTTTCAATAATGCCTTTTCATTGATTACTGAAGTCTATAACAACAATGAAGTGATGTTCAAAAAGTTGAATCGTTTGGAGTTTGATTATTCAAATAAAAATGCAGACAATTTTGACTTATTTGTTGCTAACTATAAAAAACAAATCAAATCTATTGAAATATGTGTTAAGTGGTACTGTAGTGAACAGGCATTGGATCTATTAATTAATAGATTATCACAAATATCTTCACTCATTGACATTCATATGACTTATTTCATACAAACTCAAACATTAGGTATGACAACAGCTAATCATTTAGAGATAATCGGCAAAAACTGTAAACAATTGAAGAGATTTGGGTTAACATTAGCAATGCCTCCGTCTTTTATAGGAGATCTCAATGACAATCATTTGTATCAAATTGATTACTTGAATCACATTATACAAGCAATCAATAATTTTATGAGACAAATAAAGCAATTGAAACTTTTGATACGTTTTTATATGGATTACAGTGTGRAAAGTGATTCATTTAATGGTTTGAAACAATTAACACATTTATCCATTTCATCGAATACTGTATTGAATTCCATATTCTTTGATAATATTGATATTAATTTGCCATCACTTGAATATATAAGTATTGATCACATTATGATTAMACCCGAAGCAATGAAACGTTTGTCAAAAATACCTAAACTAAGTTCAATTGTGTTCAATGGAGTTGAAAGTTATAAATAATTGACAAAATTTGCTTTTAATTTATGTCTATTTAATTAGTACTTTCACAGACAAATTAATTATTTTAAATAATAACAAATAAAGTTTTTGTTTATTTTAAACATATTGTCAATTGTCAAACAATTAAATTTTATTAATCTAAACTAATGTTTGTTAACTCATTTAGCACATTTTAAAATTACCTAAAAATTTATTGTAACTTAAAATCTATATGAATTGTTAAATACTGTATCTTAAATGTGATTTTTTAAGTGAAAATAAAATTTTTAAATAAATACTCATAAAGTTCTTAATTCAATTTATTTTGATTCAAATTTAATCATTTAATTTGTTTATATCACCAAAGTTTATATTTACACTTAAAATTTTTGTATTAGTTATTGTTGCAAAATAATTAAAGTTTTTATAGTAATATAAACTTAATTATAATAAGTAAAGTTTGTAATTTTGATTACAACTTGTCTTTAATTTAGACTTTTATTTTAAAGTTTTAGTGAATAGTCTGAGTGTAAAATAAAAGAATGTTAGTATCAGAGAAACACTAATTAAAAAAAATAACAAAATTGATATTCAAAATAATGATTAAATACTTTAATTTATTTGTTTGTTTATATTGATTGCAAAATTGCACGCTTTTTAAAAATCATATTAATTCAATTGATTATTTATTATAATTTTTATTTTATTTATATCCAGAATTATTGTTTTCTGTTAAATTTTAATTTTACTCAATTATGCATAATGTCATCCATAACATAATAAATAGTACAGTTGATATATACTATATATATATATATATATATATATATATATATAGAGAGAGAGAGAGAGAGAGAGAGAGTTTATCGGTTTAATATTGTACATTATGGGGTTATCACAGATTTAAGATCATATAATATTAAAAAATGATATTTTAATTAATATTATAATAGAATATACGGTAATTAATTAGTAGACAAATGATCAGCAAATTTTCAATTAATATATAAACAAAAACTATATTTATAATAATTTAAAAATCTAGACTACATTTTCTATCATAATATATAAATATAATATTACTAACTAATGGACTGATTGTATGTGAAGTTAAAACACTATTGAAATGACTAATTCTTTGAGTCAAACGAGAAAACTATGCATTTGTGTAATTCATTGTATTGTGGCGTCAATTCTTCAAATGAATACCAGTGCTCAGCTCTGGTCTATTGTCGATATCATACCCAAGACTTATGACCCAAAAAAGTCACCAAATCCTAGAGGTAAGCAATTATTGTAATTTATACATAATTTTTTAATATTTGATAAATGTTTGATTTATATTTCAATATAAATTTTCTCATACTTTTTAAAGGCGTTACTAAAGTCAACATTAGTGTCATTGTTAATGATTTATTGTCAGTCACTGAAAGTGATTCGGTGGGTATTTCTAAATCTTTATTAATAAATATTATGTCATTTAATATTTATAATTAAATATTTATTGATTGCTAATATATAAATAATAATAGGAAATTTTAGTAAAATTATTACACATATTTTTATTTATTGTTTTATTATCTTTATGTATCTATAATTAGACAATATATTTAAAAATTCTTATTTTGTTAATTAAATATATATTTTTTAACAGAGTTTTCAATTGGATTTAACATTAAAACTCAAATGGTATGATCAGAGGTTAAACCTGAGCTCAGGGATCCAAAATGATATTCTTGATCACAATAACACAATTGACAATATAATACTTGATAGCAGTTATATTTCAAAATTCTGGATCCCAGACATCTATTTTCAAAACGCATTGTCCGTCTCTATTGTCAATTCTGGGCTCAGTATGCAGTATCTGATGATAGGCATTGATAAAAATATCACATACACTGTTAGATATAGTGGTAAATTTATTTGTAAAATGGATTTAACTAACTATCCTCAAGACTATCAACTTTGCTCTCTAGAAGCAGTTAGCCGTAAGTTTAGTTAGCATTAAAATAAATATTTAATATATAAATAAATATATATATTGGGAATAATTTATAAATTAGTTACACAAACCACTTCTCAGTTAGTGATGCAATGGGAAGACTTTGCATCCGATTATAGTAATTATCCCAAGTTTTGGATCAGATCTACAAATACCGACTCTTGTGTTAGAACCTTATATTTTGGTAACTTTTCTTGTATGAGAGGAACACTTAAATTGGTCCGTCGGGTCAGTTACTATGTTATCCGTGTCTATGCACCCACTTTTCTATCGGTCATTATTGCCTTTGTTTGCGTATGTACTGTATTCACATTATTAATATTATATAATACTATATTTATTAGATTAGTATTTTAAATATTCACTAGTTTTGGATACCTATACTTGGATGGCCTGCTAGAGTAAATAAAACATTATATCAAAATAATTTATTTGAATCATGAGATGTATTAATAATTATAATATTTAATATTAGGTAACAATAATAGTGACTCCGCTGTTAAATTTGATAACATTAGATATATCACTGAATAATGAGATGAATGTGTCGTATGTGATGTCAATTCACTGGTGGATGATTTGGTGTCAAATCTTTGTATTTTTGTATCTCTTTGAGAACGCTTTGGCCATCTCTTGGGCCTATTTTATCAATGATAAGAAATCATCTAAAACAGCAATAATTGTAATTAACTTATTTAACTAATTTTATAAATAAGTTATTAGATTTATTAACTATTTTATAAAATTTATATATTTTTATATATATAGTCTCAAAAAAATCTTAATATAAATATATTAAATGGCCATTACTTTGGTAACAATAATTATTTTGCCAAATGTGGTAAAATCGTCGACAAAATATTGATTTTTTTCTTTGGTGTCGTTGACTATCATAAGGATCCGATGTCCAGAAATAAAATAGACTACTGTTCTCGTCTCATATTCCCATTCCTATGGATCTTATATTCTATTATTTATATAATAATATAACAAATATTGTACTAATATGTCAATGGAATACTTATTATAATATATAGATATTATTAATTAAATTATAGGAATTTAAAAGAATTTGAAAAAATGTTTTTATGTATTAATTAAGTAAATATATATATATATATAATAAAATAAATTACAAAATATTTTAAATTTATTAAATGTTTTGTTATGTAAATACTGATACAAACTTAAATTATTGGTTTTTGTATATAATATAAGTACAATTAAATTATTTATTAATACTAAAGCATTAAAAATTATAAGTATTGTATATAAAAAAACATATTTACAAATTAATGTAAAGCATTAAAATAAAAAAATGTATTTATTATCTCATATAATTAATAGTTAAAATTTATTCAAAATTAATAAAATAGGATTTTTTAGATTAATATACAATATTAATATCTTTATCAAAAAAGTAAAACTATTTCAATATAAGAATAGTATAAATGTATCTACAAGTTGATGATAATCCGATAAATGTGTGAATTTTTAATAAAATTAATTGTAAACACTATACAGTTAGTAAAATTAAAAACTATTAATATTTGGTGGCTATTGACAATAAGTAATATAACTTAATAATCACTGTCATCATAGTAATTGTGTTTTTATTAAATTAAATTTGACTATAGATATAAATTTTATGTAAAATGTGTTAAATAAATTATTTAGATATATAATATACTAATGTAATTAATAAAATTTTCAACAATAAGTTTATATCTCAGAAGAATGAAGAAAACAATTTATAAACTATTTTATTGAATATATGTTTGATTGAAGTGATGTGTTGTGTAAGTGATGTAATGTTTGAGATCATACACCACTTCATGCAATCATTTCTATAGTATGTGTCCTCAGTTTCACATCCAATATGTGAAGTCAGTCTTAACTGCGATGACCAGTGTATGACATACCTGTCTGAGCGCGATATCGACCCAATGTTTATCGCCGACTGTGTCGGCAGTTGTGGTCATTGATGACCGTTCCATAACATTCTATGTAATGGGAGGACAGGTATGGGTTCTGTATGGGTTTAAAATAATGTAATATTATTAATAATAATGTATTTGTTTATATACTCTGTATTTATAACATTGATTATATGATTATTATTTTTAAATTAACTTATATGCTAAACATAGTTAATAAAAATGTGTTAATATACATAAGACATTAAATATATTGCTTTATCTACTAAAATATTATGTATTAATAATATTAATAATAATATTATATTATTATTATAATTGTTATACAGTATATTAGGTATTGTACTGTATATATACTTTTAATATTGTTTTACTACATGTAATATGGGTGTCATTTATATGTTCAGGTTTGGGAGTTAATTAGTAACTGTTAATACCATAATTGCTAAGTAAAACAATACAATTACCATTTATTTGGTAACATTTTAAAACCAAATTAAATGTTCATATAATTTATATACTTATGGAATATAAGTTATACGATACTATCATATAAAACAATTATACAAAATATTAATAGTGAACTAATTTTAAAACATAATTTGTATACAGAAAATTTATATTTATATTTTATATAAAAAACATTGTATTTGACTTTAAAAATATTGATGACCCAGACTAGTCATCGTTACATAGGAATAATTTTCAAAACAATGATAAAATATACCAATAAAACTGTAATAATTATATATAATATGAATTTTTGTTTTTGTTTTTTTCTTTAAGTTTGTGATAACTATAGTATTATACACGTAGTGTTATATATAGCATTGACTTTATAAAAATAAATTAAACAATTTTAATGTCATTATTACAATATTTCTATCATTCCTATCATTTACAATAATGCATATTATATTCTCATCAACTTTTTTCACTATAGATTTCATGTAAACTTGTAAAACATTATAAATTTAATCTGTTTGTTAACCTAAATATCAATTTGAATGTAAATCAATACACATTTCTCCCAACACATATGTTTGCCTTCAAACATAACAAATATTTTAACTGTAAATGTATATTATAGTCCAAAACTATAGAAAAAATTATATTTATTTGTTTAAATAACAAAAGCACTTGAATTTGATTTACTAATATCAGTGATATTATATCACAGCAATATTAATCTGTGTATATATTTTGTAAATCGTGTGAAACATTTCTGATCTAAATAACAAATTTGTTTTTAATCTACTAATGAAAAAGTATTCATTTTTTTGTTATATAATATATGAACAGTATTAATATACACATATATTTTTTAAAAAGTACATATTTTAATAATGCAATTATAATAACATAAAAATATTTGCTATGTACGTCAAATTAACAATCATTTTTTTGCAAATATATTTATTTATCTATGATTGCGACACATACTATTATTTTAATATAATAAAAAGATTTTAATTTTTTTAATCCGATTTTTATTTTCAAATGAATTGATATTTATTTGCTATTACATACATTTTATAATATTATAAATTTATGAAATGGCAAAACATTTGTAGCGATTTTTTCGTTAACCTAAATGAGCGCATCGACACCCATAAAACATAATAATTATATATATTTTTTATGATTTCAATTTTCTCCTAAATATTTGTGTACACCATTATAAATATTTTTATTTTTATTTACACAAAAAATAATATCAAAAATATTATACAACCTTAATTTGAAAAAAATCATTCCCATTATTATTATTATTATTAATAATATGATTACATTATAATATGGGCGCTAATGAATAGATATGTATTCCATTTATAATACAATATTATATAAATACAGTACAAGTAAAAGGCATTAACTTTTAAAAAAAAAAATAAAATTATTGTACTATAAAAAAATTAGTGTAACTTTCTTTAGTAAATAAATGATACTAAAATATTTTACAAAACTAACATTACAATAGACAACATTATTAGGTAATAGTTTTTTATTTAAATAATAGTACAATTGTCGAACATTTTTAACATGCCCTACAAAACAACAATTTTGATTAATCAATTTATATTTTTAAAATTAATTAAATTATGATTCTAAAACACTTTTATTTAAATTTTTCTGCAATTTAATATAAATTTTTTAATAATTTTTTTGTTTACCATAATGATTGATATCGTTATTTATTATATTTTAAAATTAATTTTATGTTAAAATAAAGTGTTATAAAAAATATTTTATAAAAAATAATAAATATTTCAATTAATGATATTTAAATTCAATAGATAAATAAAAGTTGAAAAACACAATTAATCAACAACGTATTTTGAAAATATAAAAATAGCATAACTAAAAACTAATAAAAATAAAATTTCCAATTTATATGTGATTTATTATGAATTTCTTATATATTGAATATTTAAAATCAATATAAAAGCTATACAAAAGATGCTACAAACTATATTGTCTAAAAAAACTTAAATTTATTATTTAAATCAAACAAATTTTATTTATATCACAAGATTTAATTTAAACAAAATTATTTTTCATATCAATTAAATCTTGTGATAAAAATAAAAATCTTTTCATTGATATTAAAGTTTTTCATTGGATAAGTGATAATATAAATAATTGTTGATAACAAGCTTTTCAATTATCTATCAACATATAAACCTAAATCTATATAAGAAATCATTATTGTCTTTATATTTAAATACATAAATAATATAATACAATCTTATTAACTTAATAAAATTTTTTTAAATTTTCATCATTATAGATATATTTTAATAAGCATATATTAATAATTACTAGTAAGCAAGTATTAATATACTATTTTTAAATTTTATATCTGTAATTGTTTATTAACATAAATATAAGTATTATCAGTATATACAATATATTTTTTGAAATAATAACATTTAAAATAGTAATACAAACAAAACATAACTTAAAATCATATATATATATATAATATTTTTTTAACAAATAATTTGTGTGTAAATTATTTGAAAGCCATTATTATTGATAGTATCGTTGAGTTCATGTCCTCAAACAGGGTTTCGGCTCTCATAAGAATTTCCTGACAAATCACGTCTATTATGGACCACTTGTTTCACTAAAATATAATTACAATAAAAACCATATTTCTATCCATAAGCCATCACCGATACAGTCTATTATTACTGTATTATTATTATCAATGACTTTATCTTTCAATAGTTTTACTTGTGTTAAAAAGTTAAGTTATTAATACAAAGCTACATATTATGTAATTGTATAGCAAGCGTAGCTCTATGTTAAACATAATATAGTATAAAAATTGTTAGTGTGATTCACTTATTATTATTTTTTTGTTTAGTGAAAACCACTTTCAGATACTGGGGTTTACTGTATATGTAAAGCCTATATGACATATGACATAATAAATGACATTTTTATTTTTATATAAAATAAATATAATGGTAAGTTATACAATATAACTTATAGTCAATGAAACTTTTATTATTTTATTGTATATAATATCAGTATTGTTATGTTATATTAATAGTTTGTGGTATAACTTTTTTTTGTGTACAACTCAAAACACAGTTTCAAAAAAAATAATTTTTATATATCAATAATTTATAACAATAACCAATTGTGATTCATTGTAAGCCAAACATAGAGTAATACATTAATGTAATGCAATATTGATTCAGTGATCGTCACAATAATCTATTGAATTTTTGTTATTATTAGAAATATATAAAATACTGTATTTTATCTCAAACTTTATATTCTATACTTTTTAAGTAAACATAAACATATAAAATACAATAAAATTAGTTCATCATAATTATTGTATAATAATTTTATATTAAACAAATATATTGAATTATTGATCGTATATACTTCTACAGTTTATATTATGTTAACAATAAATATACATAATAATAATAATAATAATAGTTTATAGAGTTGTATTTTATTAAATTAGTTTTGTAAAAATAATGCATAATTTATAATCAGTATGAATAAAATATTTAAAATATTTATTTTTTTATTTATTTTTTATAGCGAGAAAATATTTTTATTACTTATTTTTCAATAAAAACTTATATTGCATAAATGAAAAAATGTTTTTTTGCATTGAAAGTAAATCTATAGTAAAAGTAAAACTATGAGTATTTCGCTAAAATTATGCATTTGTTTTATACAAAAGTATGGTATTGTATCGTATATGCAGTACATGTATAATATATTGTTGTTTATTAAACGGTCTGTTTGTGTCCTCGATCTTACTCTAGAAATATGTTTCAATTGTGTGGTATATTTATAAAAAACAGTTATTATAATAACAAAAAATAACAGACTAAACAACAATTTTTAGCATATTTTTCTGCTATTATTGTTGCTATTATTACAAATTTATAACTATATTCATTGACAAATATTATTTCATTAAATAACACAAATAAATTTATTTAAAAAAAACTGGTAAATGTATGCTAAATCATAAATATTCATTTGATATATAGTATTATAAGTTAGTACAGTATTAAAACTAATAATCATATGTTTAATATATTGTAATGACATACAACTGTAGTATTAATCAATAATAGAGTTAAAATACAATTGTCTTGAGTTTAGGATAAGTTATAAATACTGTACAGTAAAAACTTACGAAAAGTTTTATAAAAAAAATGTTTAGCAAACTTTTTAAACAATTATTGACAACAAATAACTAATGTTATAAGTTTTATTATCTTTAATAATATCTATACTTATTTGATACAGTAAAGTGAATACAAAACATTTTTGTTTTTATTAGATATAAAATTGTGAGACAAATCTCATACAAAAATTTCTGTGAATTTTTAAAAGAATTTTTGTCCAAAAAATTTTTTGTCATATTTTTTGCATCAAACCATATCATATAATTTACCGTAAATTTTACTTTTGTTTAGACTCACTGATTGTGTCATTAAATTAAACTCAGGAAGTTTTGTCACCTTTTTAATGAACATATAGTTTATTAAAAGGCTTTTATTATTTTATAATAATAATAAAAAATTGTTTTATTTAATTATTTGAGAATATATACAT